AAGGAATAAAAATGACACAAATAGGAAAAGACAAAGTACCCTCATTTTCAGATTCTATACCTAAGAGACCCTAAAGACTCATCTGTAGACTAGGATGGCCTGGAACTCACAGAGATCCAACCTGCCTTCATACCCCAGTACAGCAATATCAGGTATGCTCCACCATACCTGGCCTGTGTCTAATTTTGTCAGCTATTACTTTTGCCTTTACCAAGATCCCTGAAGTGTCATCTTTTTTCACAAATAGATATTTATTATTTTGTTAGTATCTTTTTGTTGCATTTCATTTTGTTTTTATTGAGCCACGATCTCACTATGCATCCCAGGCTGGCCTTGAACTTGAGATCTTCCCTGCCTCAGCTCAGCTCTGCAGGTTGGAACTATAAGCTTACTCTAGTGTTAGTTTCCTTTTCTTTCTTTTTTTCCCTTTTTCCATTGTTTGGTTTGGTTTTTTCCCCCTACTTGTAAAATGAATTCTACGTGTCATTAAACATTAAAAATTTTATTAACACTGAGGTTATCTTAGGGGCTGTAAATTTTTCTCTGAATGCAACTTGAGTTGTATCCTATATGGTTTTCCTCTGGGGTAGTTTATATCATTAGTAACTCAAGGTTTGAGGTTTTTTTTTTTTTAATCCCAAAGTTTTTATTTATTTTTTTCTTTTTTTTGGTTTTTGGAGACAGGGTTTCTCTGTGTAGCTTTGGAGCCTATCCAGGCACTCACTCTGGAGACCTCTCACTCTCGAACTCAGAGAGATCCGCTTGCCTCTGCCTCCCGAGTGCTGGGATTAAAGGCATGCGCCACCAACGCCTGGCTCAAAGTTTTTCATTTTGTTTACTTTAAAAAATATTGTTCGTTGAGAATTTGAGTGTCATACATTGTTGTCTCTCTATTCAACTGGTATTATTTTCTGGCCCCAAACATTAGCTTTTGCAAATATTTCCTGGGCTTACATAATTAAATTGACCTTTCTGTATTATTCCTTTACTCTTAAATTTGGTTTTTGTCTTTGTCTAATTATGGAATGGGTGTGCTGGCTTGTGGCCCAGCCTAATGTCTGCCCAGCACAGAGTCTCAGCAGTGTCAGGCAATGATATGGCTGAAGGCACCAGAGGGTGGGGCTAGGCACTTGGTCTGGTTGCCAGGAAGCAAGATGGGACATAATGGGGTCTGAGAGTTTGATAAAAGGGCTGTCAAGCCCAGCTTTGCTTTCTCAAGAGGGTAACCATCAGTGCAGGTCAGTGCCTCTCCAGACCTTCCCTCCGAGTGTCCTGTGCCCCTAGAAGGCCCCTTCCCCAAGACATCCTTTCCCAACACCTCTAAAACCCCTCTCCCACCCAGAAATTCCAGTCCATTCTCTTTCCAATGTCTGGGTCCAAACTTAGTAGGTACTTAATTAAAAACTGACACTGAAGGCCCTGGTGTAGGCCAGAGATGGCTTTGATGCTCGTTCCTGCCCCAGCGCACCCGCCTCCCAGCCTAGGAAACTACTGTTTGTTTTCCCGGTGCCCTGGGATACAAGTTAGGCCTTGCCCTCTGTCGTGCTGGTCCTGAGTGGAGCTAGGGAAGCGTGCTCTCCCACGAATTCTGTCCACAGGTGCTGCAAACCATAAGCGCCCCCGCCTGCGCCATGGGGTCCGAAGTCTGGGTCGGCACTTGGCGGCCACATCGGCCCCGCGGCCCCATCGAGGCGCTCATCAGAGGCCCGGGACCCAAATACAAGCTGCCACCGAACACCGGTAGCAAGGGCGGATACCCGGGAGGAAATAGGGAAGGTGGGACTGTGGGTGGACTTCACTGGTGCCTGGAATCCAGGAACCGGAGGGCTGTGCCGGGACCAAAAAGGGAAGCAAAAAGATTAAGAGGTTCTGTGCTGGGACTGCCCTGGTGGAAAGGGGAGTGCGGGGCCTGGCGCGGGAGGTGGGAGCTGACAGTCACTAGGCACTGCGGAAGGTAACGCAGGGATGCTCCCGCAGGTTACATCCTGCACGATCCATCACGGCCGCGCGCGCCCGCCTTCTCCTTCGGCTCCCGCCGGCCCTTGCAGCACACATCCTGCGGGCCGGGGCCGAGCCACCTGATACCCGCCCGCATGACGGTGCGCGGCACAGATGGCACCCCAGCATTCTCCATCTACGGTCGCCTAAGCCACACAGCGCCCTTCCGCACTCCGGGACCGGGTCAGCACCCTGGGGCACGGTCTCCCCAACGTGGAGATGGCTCCCAGGAAGCCCACTGGGAAACTCCCCACCCAAACCCAGAATCCGGGAAAACCCCTACCCAAACCCAGAAACCCGAACCTTACTGTGGCTCCAATTTCTCCCAAGACTAGGCTCTTGTGGGGAGAGCCTTGCCCCATCCCGCCCCAGTACAGGCCCACACTCTCCTTCCCTTCCATTAGGCAGGTACTACCCAGAACTCACGGGAAGTGCGACATATCCCAGCGCTCCCCGGCATACCATCGCTTCCCGAAACTGGGGCATCGTCTCGAAGCAGCAAACCCCAGGTGAGGCCCGAGGGCTGGATCCAGCATCAGGGGCCTTCCCACACCCCAACCCGCAGCCTGCCATAAAGGCAAGGGGATTGGTCCAACATAACCTCTTGCTGACTCCTCCTCAGGCCCTGGGTCCTACACTGTGCCTTCGCTCTTGGGCCCGCGTGTCATAGGCAAAGTCTCAGCCCCAACTTATTCCATCAATGGCCGCAACGCTGTGGACAGCTTCTTTGAGGATCTCAGCAAGGTGGGGAAAGGGCTGCCAGCTGAACGTCTTTAGTAATCAAGAGAGTCAGCGAAGCTGGGGGTGGTGAAGAATGCCTGGCATTCCACCACTCAGGAAACTGAGGCAGGAGGATTGTGAGTTCAAAGCCAGCATAGTGAGATTCTAGCTTGAGGAAGGAAAAAAAAAGGGGGGGGTCAGTTGTCCACAAGGAATGGGAGGCTGGGCCCAACACCCTCCTCCTGTCCTCCTAGACCCCAGGCCCCAGTGCCTACCACGTTGTGAACCCGGGGATCTACAAGACTCGAGCCCCGCAGTTCACGATGCGGGCACGGACTTCGGCACCCCAAGACAGCACTCAGAATCCAGGACCTGCAGCCTACAGCGTGGATGAGGTGGTCTGGAGTCCAGGATCAAGGGGCGGGGGATGAGGGTCTGAGGTCTAAAACAGAGTCCCCGGGAAACAGGAGTCCCTGTATGAAGCCGAACAGCTGGCTTGCTAAGGCAGTGGTGTCTCCTGGGCCCGCAGCACCGGAAGCCTCGTGGCTGGAGCTTCGGGATCAGGCACTCAGACTACCTGGCCTCCATGATACCGCAACGCGTAGAAGAGAAGACTGACACCAGCAGGCGCGCACCGGCCCTCAGTTGTTAGTTTGCTTAAAGTTTTGCAAGCCAGCGCTGTGTGTGTTCTCTCTATGCGTGGTTGGGCAAGGGATGGGGGTAGGGAAGGTGGAGGTGAAAGCGGGCGTCGATAACCTCAGCGGCATCTGAACTTTTGGAGTGTCTGAACCTAGCGACCAGTCGGACAGGACAGCAGTGCCCGGGACCCATAGATATCAAGATCCCAGGGACTTGAGCAGAGTGGACTCCGGTCAGGAGCATCATGATCTAGCCCTTAAGGTCCCGGAAACATCCCCAATTGGCCATAAGGTAGCAGATAGGGAGCAGCTGAAGTGGTGATTGGCCCAACCTTGACAAGTGCCGCCTACTGGGGGCCGCCCCATCTGCGCAGCCGCTGTTTCTGAACTACCTGTCAGTGGCTTGTCTGCTCTGCACCTAACTCCACTCCGGGCTGAGGGATGCCAGATCGGAACCGGGCCAGATCCAGAAAACTGGTAAAGGCCCCTGAGTTGAATAGGTACTGGACTGGGGTCTTTGTGAAGTTGAGAAATGGGGAAGCCAGACCGGGGGCGGCCGGGGTGAGGTAGGTGGGTGGTGCTGGGTATTGAGAAAGACATGGGCCAGTGATGGTCACCAGAGACAGGAGCAAGGTTGGGACAAGTGGCCATGGCTTCAGGGACATGGACAGGGATACAGGTTCCAGCAGTGTCTCAATATCCCCTGCAGGCTGGAGCAATGGCAGCTCCAGGGTTACCACCTCCCTCAACCCCAGAGGCAGCTGGTGCTGTCTCAGGGAGAGTGAGTAGGGAACCCAAGCAGCTGCCTGAGCTGATTCGTCTGAAACGAGATGGAGGGCATCTGAGTGAGGCAGATATCAGGGACTTCGTGCATGCAGTGATGGATGGAAGCGCACAGGACACACAGATTGGTGTGTGGCAAGCCCTAATTGGACTTTGACCCCTGACCATCCCATATGCACCTCAAGGATCCACAGTACCCCATCACCATCACAGGCCCACACCTCACTCATATGTCCATACTTAGGGGCTATGCTGATGGCCATTCGGCTGCAGGGCATGGACATAGAGGAGACATCTGTGCTGACTCAGGCCTTGGCAGACTCTGGGCAGCAACTGGAGTGGCCCAAGGCCTGGCACCAGAAGCTTGTGGATAAGCACTCCACAGGAGGTGTGGGTGACAAGGTCAGCCTGGTTCTGGCACCTGCCCTGGCTGCATGTGGCTGCAAGGTTAGTGACTGCCACCTCCACAAATCTCTGACCCACTCACTCACAGGCACCTCCTCCCCTCAAGCCAGGCTCAAAACTCTCAAAGTCAAAACCCAGGTTGTCCTATCTCCCCCAGTATAGACACAAGTTCCACCATGGAATACAACTGCCACACCTCACAGAACCCTCAGAGGAAGAGCTGGGTCTTTCTCTTCTTGTCCCTTGGATAAGACTAATATAATGAGTGCCAGCTCCTGCCCTACTGACAAATTACTCCCCACCAAGTACAATTTATTTTTCTTCCCAGCAATTGGGCACCCACATGAACTGTTTAAAATATTTGAAAATATTACAACTGCTTGAAAAAAAGTCACTTCAGCTGGAGTTCTTACTAGGGGAGAGAGAAAATGTGGACAAGGAGAGCAGTGCGGGGGGTGGGGGGCACACTCAGTATGCCTATCCCCCAGGTGCCAATGATCAGTGGACGTGGTCTGGGACACACAGGGGGCACACTGGATAAGCTGGAGTCTATTCCTGGGTTCAATGTCACCCAGAGCCCAGAGCAGGTACAGGTGGTCCACTAATCTGCAATTGATCTGGGTTGAGGGAGAATCACAGGATGATCCGTGGATAGGATATTTATCTGGGTCACTAGTGAGAGTGTTGACTATTCTAAAGGTCATTGATTGTAGATAGGCCAGAGTCATCAAGAGAACTTTGATCACGATCAGTACCATTACCCAGGAATGGTGGAAAAAAACACCAATGAGCTGCTAACCATTAATGTGTCATAACTAATCAGGTTCTAATCAGGATCCTTCAAAGGTCTGTCATCAGAATCAGATTACTGACACTCTCAGGCTATGTTTTGAACTTTTGCTGGGTCAGTGGTCCTTCCCAGAGGTCACTGCAGGTGTCTGAACAGATACTGCTCTTGCTGGAGGAAGTGGGCTGCTGCATTGTTAGCCAGAGTGAGAAGCTGGTCCCTGCTGATGGAATCCTGTATGCTGCACGAGATGTGACAGCTACTGTGGACAGTTTGCCACTCATTACAGGTGACCTGATATGGGGTACCCTGACTGACACACAGTCCACTAGGCACTGCCACCTTTATCACAGAGGCAATCCCTCCTGTCCCCAGGGATCATATCCTGGCATGATGTTTCTGTTCTCCACAGCCTCAATCCTCAGTAAGAAGGTCGTGGAGGGACTGTCCACTCTGGTGGTGGATGTTAAGTTTGGGGGGGCTGCAGTCTTCCCAGACCAGGAGCAGGCCCGAGAGCTGGCAAAGACGTTGGTGAGCCCATGCTGGGCCTCTGTGGCCTTTCTTTTTTGTTTTCTTGTTTCAAAACAGGGTTTCTCTATGTAGCCTTGGCTGTCCTGGAACTCACTCTGTAGACCAGGCTGGCCTCAAACTCAAAGAGATCGGCCTGTCTTTGCCTCTCAAGTGCTGGGCCACCACCGCCTAACATCTGTGGCCTCTATGGAGGAATGTGAACCTCACCTTCTATCATATTCCTGCCTCTGCCCACTCAACAGTCCTGGTAGAACCAACTGGCAATCCCCCTTTACAGTTCTCCTACCCTATCTAATCAAGGCTGTCCCGAGCTTGGGCCTAGAGAAATCCTTCATATAGCCCCTCCACTTAGGGCGAACAAGCCCACCCCACAGCACCACCTCTGAGGCCTAGCAGTGTTGGTTTCTGATCTCCACCCCAAGCCTTTCCTGACATCCTAACCCAGGTGCAGCAGGCATAGAATTTGATCATGCCAGCTAGACACTGAGTGCCTCCCCAGGTTAGCGTGGGAGTCGGCCTGGGGCTGCGGGTCGCCGCAGCCCTGACTGCCATGGATAACCCTTTGGGCCGCAGCGTGGGCCATACCCTGGAAGTGGAAGAAGCGTTGCTTTGCATGGATGGTGCGGGGCCGCCGGACCTACGGGACCTGGTTATTAGGCTAGGTGAGAGGGCTGGGGTCCCGACCACCTATCTGTATATTAGGAGCTCTCAGCCCCTGCAGCCTCTGCAGCCTCCAAAGCTCCTGCGCTCCGGCCCTCCCGCCAGCAGGGGGCACCATCCTTTGGCTTAGCGGACAGGCGGAAACCCAAGACCAAGGCGCCGCTCGAGTGGCCGCGGTGTTGGACGACGGCTCTGCGCTGCGCCGCTTCCAGCTGATGCTTTCGGCGCAGGGCGTGGACCCGGGCCTAGCCAGAGCACTTTGCTCCGGGAGCCCCACGCAACGCCGCCAGCTGCTGCCCCACGCCAGGGAGCAAGTGGAACTGCTCGCACCCGCAGACGGTGAGACCGGAAATCCTGGGCGCCAGATCCCACCCACTTCCTCTCCGCGTCTTTTCCTTCCTGGTCCTGCCCTCTTGTGTCCGCCCGCCGGCTCTCAGCTCCTCAGTGACCGCCTTCTCCCCAGGCACGGTGGAGCACGTCCTGGCTTTGCCGCTGGCCCGTGTGCTGCACGAGCTCGGGGCGGGACGCAGCCGAGCGGGCCAGCCGCTCACGCCGGGAGTGGGTGCCGAGCTGCTGGTCGACGTGGGTCAGTGGCTGGACCGCGGTGAGCGCCGTCCGGAACCCGTAACCACTCCTACACTCTCGGGCGCCCGCTGTGACCTAGGTAACTGCTCTCCTCGCTCGCTCGCACAGGTACACCCTGGCTCCGCGTACATCTGGACGGCCCAGTGCTCAGCTGCCAGCAGCGCCGCGCTCTGCAGGGGGCGCTCGTGCTGTCGAACCGCGCACCCTTCAAGGCCCCTTCACCTTTCGCTGAGTTAGTCCTGCCACCGACCTTCGCTCAGCCCTAAATCCGACCCCACCGCAGCCAGGTGGGTGGGTCCCGCAGTTGAGCAAGCCCTCCATCCATCAGGGCGGGACTGGGTGGAACACGGTGAACACACGACCTCCTAAGTTTGTCTGAGGGGGCTGCTACTGCCTCATCCAGTGCATTGTGGTGAGCTGGAGACTTCCTTGTGTGAGGTGCACGTACTGGGGCCCAGAAAGGGGGTGAGTTGCGAATACTTACCAGCCCCATTTTCTCGGGGTGGTGCCAGGAGCCAGCGCAGGGACAGATGGGCCTATGGTGCCCTGAACATGAATGGGCTGGGCTGTGTGACATTGGTGCCACTGGTTTTCTACTGAGCCCTGTATCACCCTGTAGTGAGTGACCCGAGGCTAGAAGGATTACTCCCTTAAGGTGGTAAATCACAGTATAAACATCCTTTAAAAAAATTTTTTTTTATTGTAAATAGACACATACGCTCTGGTGCCCAGGCAAAGCATATTCTGAATGCTTCCAGGCATCTAGAGGGGAAGCTTGGCAGTTGAGGTGCAGGTTATCCATACATTGGGTTAATGAGGCTGAAGCTCCCTAGTTAAAGAACTAGGAGTGACAGATGTGGAGCAAGCCAGTTATGGCATTTGATGTTGCCTAGGCTGATGCTTAAGGCTTGAGGCAGAGCAGTTCTGAGTTCAGATAAGCAGATACAGACAGCTGGCTAGCCTGCTTAGATGTGGGGTGACAAGTTTCTCCAGCAGTGGAAGCCCAGGCACCTTGTCTGTTCTTTTCCAGGAGCTTCATGTCCATGGTGCTACAGGCTCTAGGGCCCAGAGTTTGGCCCAGGCTCTCCCAGTTCAAACCTCCAGTCCTCAGGATCCCAGGAGGCGAAACTCTGTATGTAAAGTCCAGACACTGGTCAGGGCAGAGCCAGCCCCAAGGTCCCAGGCTAAGAACTAGGCTGCTGATCACTGCCCTGTTTGGAGCTGGGCTGGGCTGGGCCTGGCTGGCAGCAAGAGCTGAGAAGGAACAGAGGCGTCAACAGCAACGAACGGAGGCCCTGCGCCAGGCTGCTGTGGGCCAGGGTGACTTCAGCCTACTGGACCACAAAGGCCAGCCTCGATGCAAAGCTGACTTCCAAGGCCAGTGGGTACTGATGTACTTTGGCTTCACTCACTGCCCTGATATCTGCCCTGATGAGCTGGAAAAGCTGGTTCAAGTGGTACAGAAGCTGGAGACAGAGCCTGACCTGCCCCTGGTGCAGCCTGTCTTCATCACTGTGGACCCAGAACGGGATGACGTGGCAGCCATGGCCCGGTATGTGCAGGACTTCCACCCAAGACTGCTGGGTCTGACTGGTTCTAAAGAACAAGTGGCCCAGGCTAGTCGCAACTACCGTGTATACTACAGTGCTGGTCCCAAGGATGAGGACCAGGACTATATTGTGGACCACTCCATTGCCATCTACTTGCTCAACCCAGATGGACTCTTCACAGACTACTATGGTCGGAGTAGGTCAGCAGAACAGATTGTAGACAGTGTACGTCAGCACATAGCTGCCTTCCGTAGCATCCTGCCTTGAAGTATACTGCCTAGGCCCTGTCAGTAAATGAATGTACTTAATCTGTGTGTGTGTGTGCTCTCTATCTGCCGCCCATTTAAATGGTTGGTTGGGTGAACAGGTAGGAGGTAGCAAGGCCACTTTATTAGACTAGGCCAGCACTGGAGTAAATGGCCCCACCGCACAAGGGAAACAAGATTATCAGGTATACACTACCTTCCACCCTGCCTCAGTGCTCTTCACTCAAGGCTGGGCCATGGAGGGGGCAGCATAGGTCTGGAAACGCGTATGGGCTCGCTGGTGTGTGAGCAGTCTCAAAGACATGGTGTCCACAGCTGCCTCCAGTCCTGGCTGCTGGGTGATCTCCACCGTATAGTCATTAGCCTGTGAAGACTAGGCATCAGCAGAGTCCACAGGTGTTTCCCCATCCCAAATGTCCCGGGCCACTCACCAGTTGCAAAGAGGCCAGCATGGAGCGGCACACCTCAAAAGCAGGCTGCCCAGCTACAAGCTCCGCAAAGGGGCACCACTCATTGAGCTGGCGGAACCTTGAAACCAACTGGTCCCCATAGGTATGTATATCAAAGGGCACGTGCTGCTCCTGAACAGGGAAAGGACGTGTTAGCTTCAAACGGAGAGACAGCTCTAAACAATCCCCAGGCTGACGGTTCCCAAACAGCATGCCTCACCTGCTCCTGGAGCAGGGGCTGGATAGTATCTTCCCAGTCCCTGATGCGTTGGCTCAGCTCTGTCTCCTGCACAAACTTCTGGGAGGTGGCAATGAAGAGTTCCTACAAAAGGACCAGTGGGTTCTCCCTTGCACATAAGAGCCCAGGATGCCCCACTGCTCCCACCTGCGACCCAGGCCTACCACATTTCTTCGGACCAGCTCCTCATATCTCAGGGACTCTGGCATAGCCTCTGCATCTAGAAAGGCCTAACAATGAGCTGCTGCAGCCAGTGGTGGGGCTGCACACCCTCTCCTCCTGCAGCTCTTGCTCCCTCAGCACATCTCTGCCACTCCCCATCCAGACCTACCTAGGTCAGCAGCTTCCCCAGGCACCACCCCCTCAGGCTCTGCATACTCTTCAGGCTCCAGAAAATCATCTGCAGAGATGTGGGAGAAGTGACCAGAGGAGCTGCTAAGACACAGGAGGTGCTGAGAGCACCAACCCCCAACCCCACGCCACATCAAATGGCACCTACCTGCTACCCCTAGGTCTTCTAGGGGGTCTTCCAAGCGTTCTTCCTCTACAGGCCACAGATCCTCCGTGGCCCTGGGCAGCCATCTCTCAGTCATCTGTCCAGAGAAGATCTGTGAGGAAACTCAACTTCCAGTCCCTGTGGGGTCTCAGACTTCAATACTATGGGTACTTGCCTTACGTCTCTGAAGCTTCTGAAGGGTCTCTAGCTGTTCCTTTACGTGTTTCCAGTACAGCACTTCCATGTCTGCAAACAAAGACCTTATGAGGAGCTTCCCCATCCAGCCCAAGCTCACATTGGTCCGCCCAGGTCTTCAAGTGACCCTGGCAGGGAGAATGGGGGTGGAACCAGGGAAGGCAGATAAAGAATCTTCCCCATCGGGTTCAGAGGACCCCAGCCTCACCTGCAAAAGTCGGGCCCTTCCGCCGAGGCCTCCTGCTGTCAGCATGCTCAGCATCTGTGAGAGAGTGATTAGCAAGAACCAGGCTAAAATTCTAGCACCCAGGCAAAAGGGCATACCACCTTAGCCCACACACTCACTCACAGGCAGCCAGGTACCACTGGTGGAAGTCCTGCAGCTTGGTAGCACCCTTCCTCTTGCGCTTCTGTCCTGGAGGCTCTTCCACACCAGGTGGCACAGAATAGGGCTTACCTGGAAGCAGAGAGGGACTGCCTCAAGCATGGCCAAGGGGAGGGGATACAGGGCCCCTCCAATCCACTACCTTGTAGCCCTAGTCAGAGGAATGTGAATGAGGTGTCACAAATCCTACTGACCTTTCTGGAAGAGCTTAGAGTCCAAGGAGTCAAAAGGGTCCAGGCTCTGCCAGGCGTCTTGGGTCTCCTGAGCACAAACACAAGCACAAGCTGAGGAGGGGAGAGCATGAGGCCTCCCTACCAGAGCTGACACAGTGGTGACAGCCCAGAATCACAGAGGCCCACAGGTATGTGGGAGAGGACTTAAGTTTCTGGAAGGAGTGCTGAGGGTCTAAAAGGTACCAAGGCAAAGACAGGATGGGATGCCCCTGAATATACGCTCCCTGCCAGGGCCCAGGGGCCTGGCATCTCTCACCTGTGGCTGGGTGGCAGGCTCCAGGGCCCCGTGTCGCTCCCGCAGCATATATCTCCTTGGCAAGGTGGTACTCTGCAAAGAAATAGCCCACAGGTCCTCTTCTGGTTCCTGGCCACCTAAGGCTCTCAAGATCCCAGAAATTCTTAGGTTCACATCTAAAACATGGTTTTCAAGGGCCCTCTTAGGGACTAAAAAGTAAAAGCCTTAAGGAGGGGCTGGGAAAAGTTAACAAAGTGCTTGCCCTGCAAGCATGAGGGCCCGAGTTCAATCCCCAGTATTCACATAAAGTCAGCCAGGTGTGGTGGTGCTCACTTGTGTAACAGTTCCTCCTAGATTAAAACTATGACATAGGATGTGAGAAGGGAAATGAAATGGCAGGATGTTCTAAGGCAGTGTTCTCAGCCTTACTAATGTTGTGACCCCTTAAAACAGTTCCTCATATTGTGGTGACCCCAACCATACAATTTCATTACTACATGCTATAATTTTGCTACAGTTATTAATCATAATGTAGATATTTGATACGGGAACCCCCCAAAGGGATCACAACCTACAAGTTAAGAACCACTATTCTAAGATGAGGTGAAATATTCCACCTTACAGGGACACTCATTAAGATATCAAGTAAACTCAAAATAGCTTCAGGAAGATCCTAAAACTGACCAGATTCACTAGACCCCTATTTCCCCAAGAATATATAAACAGTAAAGACTTGCTGAGAAGATTCTCCAACAGCCCAACTGCTTAGAAGTAGATACTAGCCAAGGTTCATACAAGACTCACACAAGCTGAGCTGACTGGAAGAGGCTGAGACCAAGCAAGCCACTATGAAGACACTCCAGCCTGCTGAGCTGCCTTCAAGCTGTGCTCCAAGTTTCCAGCTTTTGTGAGCTGTCACATATGCTTAAAGGGTCTGAGTCATTTCCACTCCTATAGGTAACACCTCACCTACATCCCTCCCTCTAAGTAATCCCAATAAAACTCTCATTGGTTCACCAAGTTGGACTTTGATGCTATTTGCATGTTGATCTGTCTTCAGTTCCTTATCTAGGGTAAATAGACAGTTGTTCACATCTCCCCCTAAAAAGAATGTCACACAACATTCTGACACCTAAACAGGGACATGACAGAACAAAAGACAAAATGGAGATAAGTTCATGGTCAGGGATGTACAGGGTAGCAAGTCATGTAACTGAAGCTGAACAGCCTAAGAATAAGGAAATTTCCTTCCGTGTACTGTGTGAGAGTGTCTTCTTGCTTGGTAGCAACTGCAGGGTTCTTACTATGGGTAGGGAGACATGCAACCAAGGCTGAGACATGAAGATTAGTGTTTATGAAGGGAATTCCAGGGTGACAGTCTTTATCCATATGGAATGGGATTGTTTATGAAGGGAATTCCAGGGTGACAGTCTTTATCCATATGGAATGGGGTGGCATGCCTGCTTGATGAGTGGGGCCCAACACATGAATATGGAGATGCCCTGAAAACAGCTAAAGGGTTTAGAGGAAATTTTTCAGTCTGACAGCACACCAGGGGGAAGATTATTGGCAAGCAGTGGAGGAGGTTTCTTGGCTATTGCTGTGTGTAGTAAGAAATGCACCTGAACCAGAGATGGCAGCCACGCAAGAACTTGTTTGTATAAAGGAGAAATTGCAACAATAAAAGGAAATGCAGTTAGCATCTTTCATCCTAGACTCTCTCTGGTCTGGCAAGTAAATCTGATAAATGAGAGGATGAGATAGAGGTAGGCACTGACTTGTCATTTCTTAGGGCTTGGAGGCTGAAAGGGAGATGAAGTACAAATTAGATCCATGTTCAAAAGCCCTTCCTGGGATCCAAGAACTTGGAACCCATGGAATAATTAAGAGTGAGGAGGAGAACAGGATAAAAAGTGATAGGAAATACCCCTAATAGTAAAAAAGGGAAAAATATGTGACCCAGCATGCAGATGGATATATTAACTATGGCCTAGTACAAGAAGCTATGGTGAACAGCATTTAAACTGGTGGAAGTGGGGAATACTTTTGGATAAGCAATGGAGGAGCCTGTCACTGCCTGGCTTGTGAGACTGTGGGACATGGAATTGGATGTCATCAGCCTGACTGCCGTGGATGCAAAATATGAGGAACAGAACTACCCATCCCTCCTTAAGGCAAAGGCTGCATAACCTGAGATATAAAGGAAATCAGTTCACTGGCCTATCATAGAAACACTCGGTTGTCTGAGCTCCCTATAAATGTCTGGGAATGAAAAATGGCAGAGGAAGAAGGCACTAGTAAAGGAACTGGGATTATGAGAAGCTGTACTTGAACCTCAGTTCCCCAGGCCACATAGAACTATGTTCATGGAGTGACCTCCAGATTGCTATGGGGACTTAGTGGTTCTGTTGAGTCCCATGGTGGGATGTGATCTTTATGAAGTAGGAGAGGCTTTGGCAGATCTAACCAATCTAGTTTGCAAGATGCTAAAGTACTTGGGAGGCTATAAGAACAAACAAACTATGGGTGCTCTGTAAAAAGACACAAAGACTCACAAGGCTTTTGAGCAGGCTAAGATCTCTGTAGGACAGCCTGCACAGCTGTGTGCCCCACTACCATACTGTCCCTTCCTGAACACTGTTAAGTTCAGAAGGCTATAGCCAGGGGCTATGGCAAAAGCAATCTAAGCAAACAGTTCCTGTAGGGCTTTTGGTCTCAGCCCTGGACAGGAGCAGACGCTCAGTACACAAAAGTTTGTCATCCCAGTAATGGCAGAAACAGACAGATCTCTGTAAACTTCAAGGCCAGCCTGGTCTACAGAGTGAGTTCCAGGACAGGCATACTACACAGAGAAACCCTGTCTTAATCAATCAGTCTTTTAAGAAGTTAAAAAAGTCTGTCTGTGGAGGCTGAAGCACTAGATCCCCCAATGGTGCTAGAGTTACAGATGGTTATCAGCTGCCTAATATGGAGGCTAGGAACTGAACTTGGATCCTCTGCAAAAACAGTACACACTCTTAACATCTGAGCTATCTCTAAAGCCCCCTAGTTTCTTTTTTCTTTCTTTTTTTTGGTTTTTCGAGACAGGGTTTCTCTGTGCCGAGCCTATCCTGGCACTCACTCTGGAGACCAGGCTGACCTCGAACTCACAGAGATCCGCCTGCCTCTGCCTCCCAAGTGCTGGAATTAATGGCATGTGCCACCAACACCTGGCTAACCCCCTAGTTTCTTAATGCATTTTGTATTACAATGCTGGGGATTAAACTTGGGGCTTCCCATAGGTTAGTCAAGAATTCCATGCAAATACATGCCCAGCCTCAGGGCTTTAGTTTTGTATGTAGTTTGTTTGTGTTCAATAAGTAAGGATTTATGTTTTTGGGGTTTTGTTTTTGTGGGGACGGGAGATGGGGGTTTCAGGACAGGGTTTCTCTGTGTAGATTTGGAACTAGCTCTTGTAGACCAGGCTGGTCTTGAACTCACAGAGATCCAACTGCCTCTGCCTACCAAGTGCTGGGATTAAAGGCGTGGGCCACCATTGCTCAGGTAGGGTTTCTTAATTATCTCTGGATAGATTATACCCAAGGGGCTGAAAGAGGCAGCAGAGTCCTGCAGACTCGTTCTCTCATGGCAGCCTGACAGCAGTGGAACTTGAGGATCAGCTACCCAAGGGGCTGAAAGAGGCAGCAGAGTCCTGCAGACTCGTTCTCTCACGGCAGCCTGACAGCAGTGGAACTTGATGGCACAGGTACTAGGAGTTCCACAAGGCTCAGAGCCTTGAATGCCAGTCCATCCTCAAGGAACAACTGCCATCCTGCTTCAAGAGGGAAAGGATACGGAAGCTGCAATTAAACAGTCTGGCTGGAGGATGGCCAGGCTTCTGGGCAGACACTACCTCTGAGAGGATAACACAAAATTAGGGTGATGGGACAACATCAATGTGAAACACAGGAGCCAAGACCACTGCACTGTTGTCCCCATGGAACCTTAATTCTACCCCAGAATCAGGGCTTGCTCTGTTGACAGCTTGAGCTCTGCAACTTCATTGTTGTCCCACCTGCTGTGAGGTCCTGGGCTCTGCAGGCTCTAGAGCCACCTCCGGGAGCTCTGCTGCATCCTCTGCATCCTCATCTGCATCGCTGGGCACTGGGCCTTCTAGAAAAGTGTCTGGTTAGGAACCAAGAAACCAGTTAGCCCTAAAGAGGCTGGAGGCCAGGCAGCAGTTGGAGCTTCCATGCAGAAGGCTCAAGTCCAGCTCCTAGAAGAGCTGGACAGGCCAGACTCTTTCCTCAGTTTCACACTTCAGCATTAGAAAAACTGAACAAGGCTTTATATTCTCTTCCTCATTCTGGCATGCTTTGATTGGTTTACCTTATTTCTTGGCAAATATTTATGTGTTTGCTTATTTTCTTATGCATTTATACTGGGGGCTGAACCCTGGGCTTTGTATTTGGCTATGCAAGCACTCCAACAGAGCTACTGCCCCAGCCCACATATTCTTTGTTACCATTTACATTTATCCAGAGGAGACATAGGAAAGCAAATCTCACTGATGATTACACCCAAGCACAGAGAGCCAACAGAAGAAGACTGTATCTGCTACCATTAGGCCTGTTCCCCAAAAAGCCAATGAACAGGAAGCAAACAAAACAGGCTAAGGAAACAGAGAGCGTTCAAGGTCAGAGTACCACCTAGTACTGCCTCCCTGATACTCTCTTCTCACCTGGCTCTTGGGGGATGCTGAGTACAGGAACAGGACTCCCATTCCTAGAGACTTCCATTGGCTGCTCTTCAGCACCCTCAGCATCTGGGAGAGACAGAGATTAGACATGGTCAGCCCCATTCCCAGAAGGTCCCCACTGGTGCCAAAGGAGCCTCCCTAAATTGCCAGCAGAAAGCAGAACCCAGGCCCCAAGCCTGGGACTAAGGAGGACACCAGATACCAGACCCCAATACTGAGCTATGGCTGGAAATCAAGGTACAAAAAAAGATGAGGGAGAGAAGCTCTAGCCAACCTATCCACAGTAGAAAAGGTATGTGGTATGAGTGAGATAGCTTCTAAGACTAGAGATGGCAGGCATAAGGTACCCAGCAGTAGTCTCCCAAAAGGTCTTCTACTCAGCCCCCACATCCAAACCCTTACCTTTCTGGCTCCTTGGCATGGGGCACACATCCGCAGGCTCCACAGGACACATTCCCACTGGATCCAACATAAAGTAACCTCTGGGATCGGGGGTACATGTGTTCATCCTAAAATCCTTCCGGCTGGCCAAGACCTCACCCTGACAGCTGTGTTGGCAAGAACAAGCTTGCTACAGAGACCCTTCCCAGGCAGGTTTCCCGCCCTTTTCTCCCATGCTAGCACAATGTTATACCTATACAAGGGGTTGCTGTTCTTTTCCACTTCATCAGGGGCCACCAGGGCCATGGGCAGAAGGGGTATGATAAGCAGCTCCTATGGGTGGGGGAGGAAGAGCTCTAAATTCTACACGGAGCAACACTAAGAAGACTGCTATCCCCACCTCAAAGGCCGGGACACTCACACTGGATGCCTGGTCATTTTTCAGATCCACATTAGCCCGGGAGTCAGGGAAGTCATCCAGTGACCGGAGCTACAGGAAAAAGCAAGTATTCATGGGAGCAGGGCCAGGCAAGCACTCAGGGCAGAGTCCACATGCCCCAACTTACCTCATCCTCTGTTTCATAGAGAGTTCCTGAGTTGACAGCCCTATTGCTCCCATCTTCCTGTACTAAAGAGAGCTGCTTGGCTCGCCTAAGAAAGTAAAACATACTAAGAGCATTCTGGGAAACTTTGGGAGCCTCCCAAGCTTCAAGCAGGGCTCAGCTCAGAAGATGAAGGCCTCTTCCTCCTGGCTCACTTCTAATACTCACCTCTTGCCAGAAATAAAATCGAGAGCCTGGTAGACCAGCGAGTAGAGGTACTCCACCTGGCAAGCAGAGGCAAGCGGTAAGGACACAGAAAGGAGGGGCCTATCTGAAATGGTGCTTGGAAACACGCCCCCTTTGGGGGAGGGAACCTCTTATTAGACACTGGTACATATCAACATCTGGCCATCACTTCCAAACCTTCATACAAGCCCAGCCAGTTTTACTACTATTAAGTAATTCTCACTACCCAGAGTGGTGGCATATGCTTGCAACCTCAGCACACAGAGACTAAAGCAGGAGAATTATCATGAGTTTGATGCCAGTCTAAGCCATACAGTAAGTTCTGGGTTAGAGTATAAGACTCCATCTCAAAAACAAATCCTTTTTTATTAATTTTTCTTATTTTTAAAACAATCTTATTTTACATACCAATCCAAGTTCCCTCTCCCTCCCATCCTCCCATTGCCCCACCTTTTCCCCATCCCATCCATGGGGAATCAACAAAGTATGTCACATCACTTGAGGCAGGACTGAGGCCCTCCCTCCTATATCTAGGCTGAGCAAGGTATCTCTCCATAAGGAATGGGCTCCAAAAGGCAGTTCATACTCTAGGGATAAATACTGGTTCCACTGCTAGTGGTCCCACAAACTGCCCAAGACACCCAACTGTCACCCACATTCAGAGGGCCTAGTTCGATCTTATGCAGGTTCCCCAGCTGTCAGTCCAGAGTCAGTTAGCTCCCACTTGCTCAGGTCAGCTATTTCTGTGGGTTTCCCCATCATGGTCTTGACCACAAGGATGACCCCAGCTAAGAATCTAAGCAATAGTAGAGAGGGCACCTTAACTACCCTTCCCCTGTAATCAGACTGATGTCTACCTTAATTGACATCATAGAACCTTCATCCAGTAACACACCTGTTACTCAAACACTAGAGATGCAAAGGCAAGAGTATTAGGGGTTCAAGGCAAGCCTCAGCCACAGAGCAAACTCAAGGCCAGTCTGAACTAATAAAATCTTGCCTCAAAAACAAGCAGGTTGGGAATGTAGTTCAGTTGGTGAAGCATTCACCTAGCATGCATGAAACCCTAGATTTGCCCCACCACCACCACCATCACAGAAATGCAAAAATTGGACATGATGATTGACACCTGTCATAAGAGCACTCCAGGAGGTAGATGCAAAGGTATCAAGAGTTCAAGGTCATCTTCCTCAAGTAGAGTGTTCTAGATCAGCCTGAGATGCATGAGATGTGTCTCAAAAAAGCAAACAATAGACTCCAGTTTTTCTCTGACATTGAAAGTTGTCACTGTGACCCACAGTGACAGCAGGCTAAAGATAGATGTACACTGCTGCTGTCTCAGAAGGAGTTAATCACATTACACCCGCTCAACATTGAAGCACAAAGATCAGCAGTCTGCGGAACCCACCTTTTTACTGTACACACAAGCTGAGCCCTGGATCAACAGTGCTGCCTCAATGAAGTTCATAGTGGTTTTGCCTTCATCAAAAGAAATGCAAATCTGGTCCAGCTGCAAGAAAGAACATTAGTAAGCTAGACTCGGTGGGCATGCCTATGATCCCAGCAGTTAGGACACTGAGGTAGGATTCAAGGCCTGCCTAGGATATAAAGTGAGACAGTCTCAAAGAAAATAAGATACCAGTGCAGGAGAAACCTATGCTCACTTCCTCCATGCTGCTCGCACTGCACATTGTATCCACCCTGGTTAAAACCAACGGGGGACAGACTCCGGCAAAAAGACCCTTTACCCTGAGAGAAGGAAAATGCAGCACTCTCTATCCTTTGATTGGTAAATTCAGGAAATGGTGCCGTATGTAGTTCTCCCTCTCCAACCCTCCTTGGTCTCTGTGAACCTCGGCTCTTTTTGTTTTGTTTTTGTTTTTTTTGTTTTTTTTTTTTGAGACAGGGTTTCTCTGTATTGCTTCACTCTGTAGACGGGGCTGGCCTCAAACACAGAGATCCACCTGCCTCTGCCCCCCACCCAGTGCTGGGATTAAAGGAGTGCGCCACCAACACCTGGCAGAACCTCGGCTCTTAACTAGGGTTTTTGGCTCTTTTTTTCCCCCTGAACACCTACCATGTGCATCTGTCCATCTCTGTTCAAACGACCAGTCACACATATATCAACAATTGCCAAATCTATCCTCAGAACACCTTTCTCCCTGAGGCTCTGAGGTTTCATTTACAGATACCTACTGAGGATCTTAAAAAAAAAAATCAAGATACCCCACAGAAATGTTCAAGGTATTGGGGATTAACACAAGATCTTACAGACACTCTTACTGATGCCAAAATCCATATGTCCAACTGTCTTATTCAACTATTCAGATCTTTTCTTTGGTTTTGGTTTTTCGAGACAGTTTCTCTGTGTAATAGCCCTAGCTGTCCTGAAACTAGCTCTGTAGACCAGGCAGGTTTCAAACTCACAGAGATCCACCTTCCTCTGCCTCCCAAGTGCTGGGACTAAAGGCATGCACCCCCAACTATCCAGATTTTTATAAACAAGAGTCAAATGAGCAAGTGCATGCTGGACTCCATCCTACCCATAGCCAGAAACTGAAGGACTTCAGCTCCTCTCCTCTTTTGCTCACTTGCCAGTTCAATCTAGGATCAGCCCCTTACCACTTCCAGGTTCCTCTCTAATGACTGCTGCTCTGGCCCAGTCTAACCTCTAACAGGGCTCCTGACCCCCACTCTTCTCCTCTATGTTATTTGCAGGCCTTCTGCCACTCAGAGGGAAAGACATGAAACTAAACAAGGCCTCCAAGGAAAGTCTCTAAACTCACCAGTCTCCTCCAGCTACCAGACGTCCCCTGTGAGCTGTACTTTTGTGCCTTCCACTGAAACAAGCTCCATGTCCCCTCTACATAAATTTTTTAGCTTACCAGACATGGCAACTCCTTTTACCTCAAATAAAATCAGATCCCTCAGCCAAAGTCTTCATAGTATCCTAACCTTTTCTTTCCAGTCTATCACCAGCTTGTGACAACACACAGATACCAGCACGGGGAGGAATAGATCTGCCTTGTCTACTACCAGCTGTGACTTCCAGCATATCATTTAATCTCTCTAGTGACTATATCAGTTTTTTTGTAAAGACTACATTGCTTTATATAAAAAACAAAGAAGCAGTGCTTAGGCCAAGTAGACACCTAATAACCAATAATGTGGCTCCTATCTTGGTGCCACCTTCATACTCCTACCTTGGTATGTAGAATTTCTCCCTAGAGAACAGAAATTCTATCTCAAAGCATAAATTACTGTTTGCTTTATTTGCCATCCAGGTTTTTCTTTTGGGGGGCGTCTTTTTCCTTTTTGGTTTTTTGAGACAGGGTTTCTCTGTGTAGCCTTGGGGCTCCTGGAATTTGCTCTGTAGCTCTGTAGACCAACCTAGCCTTGAACTCAGAGATTTGCCTCCCAAGTGCAGAGGCAGGCGAACCTGGTCTACAGAGTGAGTTCCAGGACAGCCAGAATTACAGTGAAACCACCTCTCAAATAAATAAATAAATAAATAAATAAATAAATAATAACAATAATAAAACTTAGTCATAAACAGAACAGTACCTAGTAGGACCAAGAAATCACAGATACCCTTCAGCCAAGAACAAGCATGGGATGCCATAGATTGGCTGTTCAAGAAAAAGTGAAGAGCTTCTAAGATGTGTGACAGTGCATTTGCCTACTATGTATGAAACCTTTGGGCAATGAGATAGCTCAGTGTATAAATGTGCTTACCATAAAGCCTGATGACCTTAAGTATCTATGTAGAGGAACAAACTTCCACAAATCATCTGACCTCCACACTGGTATGCATGCACCCACACACATAATAATTTAATTTTTTTTTTCTTTCAAGATAGGATTTCTCTGTGTAGCTTCGGAGTCTTTCCTGGAACCAACCTGGCCTGGAACTCAGAGATCCACCTGCCTCTGCCTCCCGAGTGCTGGGATTAAAAGGCACCAACCACCACTGCCTGGCTAATAATTTTAATTTTTTTAAGTTAAAATAAAACAAACAAACAAAAACAAAAAACAAGAAAAGGAACACAAAGTACAGAACATCCAAGGATAAAGCTAAAAATACTGAGCAATGACTGCAATGAAAACCTGAGGGCTTTAAAATAAGCCATGTTGTGGCCTGGCTATATTTTTTTCCCTAAGATGTGTGTTTCCTTGCATTTATGTGTGTGCTATGTGCTTACAGGTGTCCATAGAACCAGATGATGTGCCTGGAACCCCTGAAAGTAGAGTCACAAGCTTCACTGTGAGCTGTATTTCAGTTCTGAGAGCCAAACCCAGGTCTTCTGTAAGAGCCGAAAGTACTATTAACCAGAGTCATCTCTCTAGCCCTGATTTTAATTTTCTAAAAAAATATATGGGCAGCACCAGGTGTGGTGCATGCCTTTTAATCCCAGCACTTGGGAGGCAGAAGCAGCAGGATCTCTGTAAGTTGAGGCCAGCCTGGTCTACAGATGGAGTTCTACGACAGGCTCCAATGCTTCAGAGCAAAACCTGTCTTGAAAAAACAAAAAATAATAGTAAAATTTTGTAAGTGTTTTTCCTACATGTGTCTGTGTACCACCTATGTGTTTGGTGCTAATGAAGGCCAGATGAAGGCATTGGATCCCCTGGAACTGGAGTTAAAGTCAGTTGTGATCTGTCATGTGGATGCTTAGAATTGAACCTGGATTCTCTGGAAGAGCAACCAGTGCTCTTAACTGATGAACCATCTCTCTAATTCACTGCACTCCAATCCCTTTTTTTAAAACTTTGAAGCATCACACTAGCTATAGGATGATGTCCAATCTAGCAACATGGATGAGAAGGTTTTACATATCTAGGCATAATAGGCCTAGACTAGACATAATGGGGAACTGATGAACTGAAGTGATACTCTGGCAGTATAACTGACAGAATTCATAGGTAAACTTGGTGTGGGATATGAGGCCTTATTACATCTCTTAATTTCCATCTTTAGTTGAACAGTAAAACTCTTTACCAAAATAGAGGGCTAGAATTTAAACCAAAACCCAAAAGCTCCTCTTTAAATAAAACCCAAGAGCTCACATAATATCCCAGAAAATGCCAAGAGTGTGGCGAGAACAGATTAGGAGGCAACACTTCGTTAACTTACAAGTAGAGGTAGTATCCCACCACATGGGGTTGAAAACCCACATTTTAAATCACTAAAGTAAGATATTCTATTTTTAAGGGAAAGAAGGCTCCATCCCAAGAAGCTCAACACTTAGGAGAGTAAAAAGAGACGGTGAAATAGAAATCCTAATAGCACTGTTTCAAAAAGGAAGTTGTCAGACCAAAAAATGCTCCCCAACTGAATTATAGAACATTTCGAGGTCTCTTGGATTTTGTAAGATGACTACCACTACTGTTCAAGAAAAGAGATCTGTAACTATTCAGTAGTGGAATCCGATTGAGTTGGGCTGAGGAGTGAAAATGCAGAAATGGAGCAGACAGAGCCCGAAGAGATCTAGACACTGCTGCTAAAAATGGAGGAATGAAATGCTGATAGGCTAGATGACAGCGAGAGGCAGGACCACAGACCAGGAGCGGATCCGTCTGGACAAAGAGGGCTCAAGTTAAGAGCCTCGGGTATGGGTGGGGTATGGGTGCGTCATGCTACACCAGGGAAAAGATGTGGGCGGAGCTTGAGGTCTAAAATACGAGAGATCCCTTTCCCTTCGGAAATCCAGATCTCTCAAATACAATTAAGAACTCAGGCAAATTAGGGTCCATTAGTATTCGCAAATAATCCAGAGACTGAGACAGGAAGATTTCGAGTTTAAGGCCTGCCTTAAGAAGAAAAAAAGGGACTAAAAAAAAAAAAAAAACTCCGTGGTAGAGCGCTTGCCAAGCTCGTACAAAGCCCTAGGTTAAATCCCAAGCACCGCAAATAAAAAAAAGGAAAACGAAAGTGATGCTTCCTAGTGTATTGCACCCCAAAAAGAAAACAGAAAAAAATTTATTTATTGAAGAAAATGGTTATCATCCAACCAAATCGATTTCACAGCTGGCTAAAGGGTAGAGACCTGAAAATGACAGCTCCAGGATAATCCAACTGAAGAAAGTTTCGAGAGGTAGGCTGGAGTTGGGGGAGGAAAAAAACGAGAAACTGAGGACAAAACACCAGACGGCTACAGACCTGGAGGCGGGGATGGCAGAGACGCCTGAGTTCCCAGGCTCGTGCCATTCCCCCTCCGCCCTCACCTCCTCCAGATACTCGCCCAGCTGTGCTGCTACGTCCACCTCCCAGTTCTTAGTGAGATCCCGGATGGGCTGCAAGAGGTGAGCGAAGCGCACCTCCACATCCTCCATGTCCAGAAAAGGACTAGAGGCCCGGGACCGTACACTGGCTCCGGATAGGGCCAGCAGACTCAACCTGCCACTGGTTCTGGCGCCATTTTGGTGTTCCCGCCCAGGAAGTACGTACACGGACGCGGCGCGCAAACCTATGACGTAACGCGGGTCCCAGTTTCAAAGTGAAAGGCGCACAGGGGAAAGAGGAGGGCCCAACGAGGCGGGGCCTACGCCGGAGGGCGTGGTTAAGACCCGGGGCGGGGCCTGGAGGACCCGATGAGACTAAGTTTATGGGCCAGTTAGCCGTGAGTTCCTTGGCACTGGGTGGAGCGCTGTGACCAAACCCGACGGATTCCTGCTGGGGCGTGGGCCAGAGGCGGGGCTGGGGGGACCAGCGGGCACTGCTTCGGTGGACCGCGTAGCGGACATGGCGAGCTCCCGGGTCCCACAGCAGCTTTTCCTGCAGGGTGTGGCCGCTGTCTACACGTTTGCCTTTGCGTCCCTCTACACCCAGATCCCAGGTGAGGGCGCCGAGAGTGGAACACTCACACGTGGTATCATCCCTTCCTTCACCCTGAATACGAGCTCTCTGAGGCGGCTGTGAGGTCCAGGCCTCTACTTGGGACTAGGGAGCAGTAGTTTTGTGTACTGCGGGCCCACTACAGTGTAGAGGGAGAAAGATGTGCAAGCGTCGGTTTCCCCTTACTATTCGGATCCTCACCTGGGATTAGGGCAGAACCCCGAAGGGAGTAGGAGACAGATTTCTACCTGGACTCCAGCCGAAGGTGCTGACCCAGAGTTAGGTCTTCTGAACCTGGGGTTGGGGTCAACAATTTCTAACCTGAGAGAGAGCATCTGGTAGAGCAAAACCTACATGGGGTTGGAACATCTGCAGACACAACCAGGAGTGCAGGGAGCAGCCGTGGCGGGAAGCATGTAGAGGCCCTGACAATAGGGCCTCTGCATGCGTGGAGCTGGTGGTGGGGCTTCTTCAGGGCTTAATTCAGATGAATTTCGTCTGAGAAGACACTGACATGCCCTCCCACAGGCCTCTATGGCCCAGAGGGAATCCTTCCTGCTCGAAGAACACTGCGGCCCCAAGGCAAGGGTCGGTGGCAGCAGCTGTGGGAAACGCCAACACTGCTATGGGAGGCACCAAGACTGGGGCTGGATACTGCCCAGGGTCTGGATCTACTGACCTTATTGGGCACCGTGCTAGCACTGGGTGCCCTGCTCCTGAACTCTCTGCGACACCCCTTCATCTACCTGTTGCTCTGGATTGCCTACCTATCAGCCTGCCAGGCAAGTGAGACTCTTAGAACTTCAGCCTCTGTCTAACCTGCCCACTGCCTTGCCTGATGCAGCAGACACACAATGGCTCTCTAACAGCTCCTCTCCCTACAGGTGGGCCAAGTGTTCCTTTATTTCCAGTGGTGAGTGACTCCTGGGCCAATGCTGCCTGAGGCTGGGCAAGGGATGTTCACCTCTCCTGGGAGGACCCTGTGAGGGAAGCGGCCTTAATGGAGAAGAACCCTTTATGATATTTCTTCTCCCTATAGGGATTCCCTGTTGCTGGAGACCGGCTTCCTAGCTATACTAGTCGCCCCACTGAAGAAGCCTTCCAACCGCAAGGGTGGATTATCAGGGGCCTTACCCCATGAGAACCTCCCATTCTGGCTTGTGCGCTGGCTGCTGTTTCGACTCATGTTTGCCTCTGGCGTGGTCAAGCTGACCAGCCGCTGCCCTGCGTGGTGGGGACTCACTGGTGAGGGCCTGGGCCTGAAGCTGGGGTGGCCTGGAAGCTCTAATAAACCCTGACCCCCACCTATTACCTGCAGCCCTCACCTACCACTACGAGACACAATGCCTGCCCACCCCATCTGCCTGGTTTGCCCCCCCCCTGCCAGTCTGGCTGCACAAGCTCAGTGTGGTGGCCACCTTCCTCATCGAGATCGCAGTGCCCCCTCTGTTCTTTGCCCCTGTTCGCCGCTTACGATTGATGGCCTTCTACGCTCAGGTGGGTAGAAGAGAGTGTGGCCTTCACCGGTGGCCAGTGAGTCTTATTGGGGACAGAGCAGCCCTGGGAGTGGTGAGGTGATGGAGGTGCTGTTGGGAGAGCATTGCAGGTAGAGGGATGTGCTACTCAGATAAAGGCTACATGTAGCCTTTGTGAAAACCTCAGTCTTTAGGTCAGCAGGGCTCAAGAAGAGCAGCCTGCCACAGATCTGATTGCAGACCTTCCCACAGGTATTACTACAGGTCCTGATTATCATTACTGGCAACTATAACTTCTTCAACCTGCTAACCTTGGTGCTTACCACTTCCCTCCTGGATGACCATCACCTGTCTGCTGAGCCTGGCCTCAGATGCCACAAGAAGGTGCCCACCTGTGAGTATCATCCTGTCATGACAACCAAACTGATATCAATTGCCTAGTACTCCCAAAGAACCCCTGTTCCACCTCCACCCCAACCCCTTGGCTGCAGATCCTCAGCCAACCTGTGACTGTCCTGCCCATAGGCTGGCCCAAGGTCCTGCTGACCATGCTATCCCTACTGCTGGAACTAACTGTTTATGGGCTGCTGGCCTATGGCACCGTGCACTACTTTGGCCTGGAGGTTGACTGGCAGCAGCATATCATTCTTTCTAAAACCAGTAAGTGCCAACCTGAGGGTCTAAGGAAAAGGGCTGGGTCAGCCCCTAATCACAATCTCCTCAATCGGCAGCCTTCACCTTCCACCAGTTCTTCCAGTGGCTAAAGATGGTGACTCTGCCTACTGTGTGGCTGGGGGCAGCCTCCCTGACCTGGGAGTTGCTTATTGCCCTCTGGAGGTATGTATGTACCTGAAGACAGGGGCAAGAGGCTACTTTCACCTCAGGCCTGGCCTGATGATACTTGGGCGCCCTGTCCCCAGGTGGATCCAGGTGCAAGGATGGCTGCGGAAGTTCTTTGCCAGTATCCAGCTCTCCATCCTGGGTGCTGCCACAGTGGCCTTGTTCTTGATCAGCCTAGTAAGTGCCTCTGTGGAGAATGGGGTTGGGGGAAGATGGAGCAGCACTGAGCTATTGCCTACTTGCTTGTAGGTACCTTACTCCTATATGGAGCCTGGGACCCACGGGCATCTCTGGACTGGGGCTCATCGCCTGTTCAGTTCTGTGGAACATCTGCAGCTGACCAGCTCATATGGCCTCTTCCGTCGGATGACTGGTCTGGGTTGGCGGCCTGAAGTGGTGCTGGAGGGCAGCTATGATGGACACCATTGGACAGTGAGCCCTCCCAAAGGATGTCGGGGTAAAGGGACCAAGTCTAGCCATTTCAACTAACCATATGTCCATCCTTTAGGAGATAGAATTCATGTACAAACCTGGAAATGTGAGCCGACCACCCCCTTTCCTGATACCCCACCAGCCACGCCTCGATTGGCAGATGTGGTTTGCAGCCCTTGGCCCACATACACAAAGCCCCTGGTTTACCAGCCTGGTGCTACGTCTCCTGCAGGGCAAAGAGCCAGGTGAGGGATAGTCTGGGAGAGGAGCTGGGACAGGAAGGACAAGTTCAGAACCATGTTAACCTGTCCTCCCCTGCCACAGTGATCCGCCTGGTCCAGAACCATGTTGCCAAGTACCCGTTTCATGAGCAGCCACCCACCTACCTACGGGCCCAGCACTATAAGTATTGGTTCTCAAAGCCTGGAGAGCACAGGTAAGGCAAGGATGATGGGTGGGGTACCCAGGCCTGGGCTATAGCCACATGCTGACTATCCAGTTCTGTTACAGCCAATGGTGGCACCGCCAGTGGGTAGAGGAATTCTTCCCCTCTGTATCTCTGGGGGACCCAAAGCTGGAAATGCTGCTCCAACAGTTTGGACTTCAGGTGTGAAGGCATCAGCTGGACTGTGGGAGGGGCAGGGTGTTTGCCTGTTGCAGGAGTAAATCTTACGGGGTTTTCTTGGTTTTATCTCCATAGGATAGGAGTCCACTCCGGGGCCGCAGCCCCAGCAATGCCCTCGCACAGACACTAAACTGGGTGCGAACACAGCTGTCTCCTCTGGAGCCGTCCATCCTGCTGTGGGGACTCTTGGGGGCTGTGGTGACTGTCAGAGTTGTACAGACCCTACTTGCCCCCTGCCCACTCCAGTCCTCAAAATTGTCTAGAGAAGAAAAACGTAAGCAGACTCCCAAAAAGGATTCCAGAGCTGCCTCTGAGCAGGCTGCCCCCAACAGAAACAGCAGTGACTCTGGGGCCTCCCGGAGGAAAAAATAGCTTCATGTGCTGTCAGCCAGCCACATGTCCTGATGGAATTATATCCCTAGAATTGCATCCCATCTCATGTCACAGCCCAGCCACGGTGCCTTGGGCAGTCCTGCCAGGGCAGATGCAGCTTGGAGTACCACCCCTGAGAACTGTTAGTGTTACCTTGAACCCTACTAGTCCCTCTGCGCCAACCACATCCTCCTCTAGTCACCTTCCACTGTGTTGGCAACTAGCCCAGAAGTGGGCTTGTGGCCTCTCTCAGGACTTTCCTGGAACATTGTCAGTGTACCCATGGATGTAGAGGCCTGAGTCTGGAGCCCCTGTCCAGCCCTACTGTGAAGGATATGAGCTGTGGCTAGGAGTGAAGGGAAGTGGGCCCACGTGATAGTGCCTACCTACCCCTCAGACTGAACCAATAAAGGCACCATTTGTCCATACCCCTTTGCTGGTGATTCCTTCTAGAGAGGCCTGAGGACAGTTGGCACAGACTAGACTGGTTACTGACCCAGCTAAGTGGGCTCCCTCCTTGTCACTCAGTCTTCTCCAGAAAATAAACAAAAAGGCCTGGTTACAGGAAGCCTTGACGTGTCGATGTGGCACAGCCTGGCAGACCTGTACAGCAAGGGCTGTGAGACCAATGGAGGAAGATGAAACTAGAACAGCCCAAGGACCAGGGAACTTTTCAGAACATGTCCTTCTCTCCACCTGCTTTATTTTCTGGTCTTCAGAAAGGGCGGAGTGTGAAAAGATAAAAGAGGGGAAGAGTACTAGATAGTTATTTTGGACGGGGGTGGGGGGGTTCGAGACAGGGTTTCTCTGTGGCTTTGGAGGCTGTCCTGGAACTAGCTCTTGTAGACCAGGCTGGTCTCGAACTCTTGA